GAATGCCTCAGATTTATGTCAGAGTTTGAGGCAAAACTTGTTTACATAGCTGCACCTTGCAGCATATCAGATGCAGTATACCTTGTATACTGGAAAAGTTTGATGCTCCTGATAGCCCAGTGATAGAAAGCACATTATGGAAACATGGGTACCACTATGGAAAGGGCCTTGCTATTTAAGTCTGAGAAAAACATTTTGGGTGTACCAATCTCAGCTACCAAGGCTCAGTGAAACAAAGGAGGCTGTATGTACAAAGAAGAAATCAAATCACATCAGAACTCCACGGAGGAGGAAAATAAAGCAGCGCATCACGAAATATGCAGAAGAGGACCTACAGCCTACAGGTCCCATGTATACCAAATGTGTAAGTCATGATTAAGTCAAACAATTCATCCATTATTTGCCAGAATTTGTAAGTTTTTTAGGTTGGGTTCCACCTAAAGTAACAGGCTACAGAGGTGGTATATTCTACAGTTACTGACCCTAAATCATCCTGAAAAATGCTGGTTGAAGTTAGTCCCGCAAAGGAAAGACTGGACGTAGGTGGATCCTGCTGCTGACCAGTTATGACACTTACTTCTCCTCCAGCTACCACCTAGGAACAGAGTTCGTAAACCAGTAAAATGAGAATGCTGACACTAAAATAATTCATTGCAGCAGCTGGCAAAATAGTATTCAGAAAATATTCCAAATGTCACTGAACATTTTTTACCTGCAACTCAATAGTGCCTGAAGCATTTTTTAAGAGACTAACAGCTTGGGAGTGAGTCATGGCCTCAGTAGATGTTCCACAGATGCTCACAATCCTGTCCCCAACCTTCAGAAGAAAATATAGAAAATCTAACTAACAATAAATTTAGTTACGTAGATTTATTTGTCACTTTCTTTCAACAATAGCAGATCTGTGTATTTGCATTTAGCCAGATTTTATCAGCGATACAAGGCAGGAATAATGAAATTAGCAACTGTTCACAGTACATTTTCTCTCAAAGGCAAATCATGTTTGAACTACATAATGACCCAATACAAACGTAGAAATTCAACATCACAATTAGCAAATTACACTGGTTTAGTGTATTAAGTGTAAAAAAAGTAATGATGCTTTACAGAATTGATCCTAATACTGTAGAAATATACAGCATGTAAAAAAAGAGGTGCATTTTGCATGCCAACTGAAGATGGACAGACTGGAGTAGTAAATTATCGTCAGAGATTATATGTTTGAATTAATCCTGAAATAACTCTGTCCATTCTGCAAGGAGCATGAGTCAAATTCAACCACCCCTGGTACAGATTAGATACAGTAGGCATGTAAGTGCTGTATCAGATAAGACCTCCCACTTTAACTTAGAACCTAAAAAGTACTCTCTCTGTCCTAAGACACATAAGCATAGAAAATATGAGATGAAACAGACTGCATACATACGGTTGCAGGAATGACAATCATGCTCATCAGTGGAGCTCACTTACAGAATCCATCATTCTGAACCACTCTCTCTATGTAATTTTCTTAATTCTTCTTAATTTTCACAAGCTGACTACCTCTATGATCCAAGATTGCTTTAGGACTTCCTTCCCAAAGTTAGTATCTTTCAGCAATTAGCTTTTACCATGCTACCAATCTGAGTTACTGTTTCGTCAATCCTAACAGCAAAAATTCTTGTAATGGCCAGAAGCACTTATGACTGTATCATTAAACTGCTAATTTATTGCCTGCCTAGAGTAATTACTGTGCATTACCCATGCAATCTTTACAACCTTCTTAACAATTAACTTACTCTGAGTTTCTGAGTCTGAGCTGCAACTCCATTCGGATGCATCATGGCAATAAATATAGGAACATCTCCAAGAGGACTTCCTACACCTCCAGCAATGCTCACTCCTAGTGAATCTGCAGGGCCCTGTTATTGTAATGAAAAAAGATTAGATTTTTCTGGAAAGAAAAACACATACAGAGAATTGTAGGCTTATCTCAAAAAATTACTAAAGCCCCTATCTTATGAAAATCCGAATTCATATGTCTCAAGCCATTTTTTAAGCTAACACATTTCGCATCATTTCAAGAAAGCGCAGAGAGCACAATTTATGTTTCTTCCTATCAGTAGTAGGTGACAATTTGCTGACTTAGTTGTATGTTTTATCTTAACAAAACTAAATACTTACAGAATTCAGTGTCAGACCCTTAATGTCAGCATAGAAAGTCTGGGCAAGGAGAACTGGACAGATGTGATTGCTTGTTCTTAATATTGTCTATATCAACCTCCTGTTATGAACCTCCCAAAGACCAGAATTAATCTTTACGCTCCCCCTAGTGTCCTGTTGTTGAAGAACAAAACTAGCCATTAACTACTGTACAACGCCCTACTGCCTAACTGCAAAAACCACTATTGTAAACTGGCATTTGCAGATTCTACTGTAAAAAGAGAATGGCTAAATACAATCTGTGTAATCAAGTCAACTAGATGCCAGGGAAAGTCAAATAAATATAAATATTTTGGACAATCAGAAGCAGTCTGTGACTCGGATCTCATGCTCCTGTCAAGAAAGAAGTCGACTGAATTTCACAGTTGAAAACCTGGCAGCTGTCATGTAAGAGCCCACCCTTTAAAAATATGTGTGAAGAAAAATGTGAAATACAAAACAAGGGGCTTGCAACTTTAGTACAGTTCCCTTGACTTCACTAAAACAGAGTCTGGATTTAACTCAAGTCTCATAACAGTAAAACTAGGTCCCATTATCTCTTACTAATCCTTCCTCATTTTCCTTTCAAAATAGGTCACAAAATGTGATAGCATAAATTGCACTCATTTTACATAAAAATATAGGCAGTGGAGATCATACAGTCTTGACCTGAAAAGACAGGCAAATTAATTAGCTATTGCCACATCAATTCATCTCTCAAAATGATTAACAGGGACAGGCTTCTTCCTTTCTGTAAACACACATATTGACAACATCTACAAAACCTGTTCCTGATACATACCACTACATGCTGTAACTTACCTTCTTTATTTCAACTGTTCTTAGTCCCTGTATTTCAGAAGCTGCTGTCAAATGCATTTAAAAAAAGAAAGTTAAACTAGCATTTTTAGGAAACTTTTCCATTACAGTTATCCAAACCACTATAATGATTCTAAGTTTCTGCTGGTTTATTATAGATACACATTTTAAACAGATTTTGAAAGTGGCTGTCATTAAATTAATAGGATTAAAATACCTCTAGAATGGGTGAAAAAGTAATTCATTCTCTCCTATTCTCTCTCTTACTTAAGTAACTTTTGGAACAAAACTGCTAAGCATGCCCAAATAGAATAGAAAAAACTATTATTTTCTAGCAATACTTTGGTCAGAAGTAACTTTGTTCTAAATTTGAGCATGAGACAGCTATTCTACATCTATTCTAATTTAACTATACAGTATCTGGATTTCTATGAATGAGATGGCTTGACTGAAGACATATTTAGACTACGTGGAAAATTATGGCTCAACTTAGATTCTCAACATCTAAACTGCTGGTATAACAAGCTGCTAGTTTCTTTTATAAAAAACTGTTCAAAGATATATATGATGTACTGTACAATAACCACCCCCGCAGCATTTTAATGACCAAGGAATCACTTTCAGGCCTACAGTACATAATGACAACATTTTAGAGAAAGTGAAAGATCTCAGCTACCAGTTCACACGTATAAAATACTGAAAGCACCAAAGAAACCTTACTGGTATTCTTCTTCAGACCACTTTCAAAGACCTCAGGTGCACTGGACCCAGAAACCGGAAAACTGAATGATGAGAGACTGCCACTTCCTTCACTGACCTAAGTACAGTGTTAGACTGGGATTAGAGAGCAGCTTCAGACACCCAATTGAAAAAAGTAAAACTATAACACACTGTATTCAGTGGATTTTGCTGTATTTTACTTTTTCTGTGCCCAGTTACAGCTGACACAGTGAACCTCCACATATTTCCTAGTCACTCTAGAGGGCTCCTTGTTTGAAGCATCATTAGACCAACAGAGATCACATGCCTACAACTCCATGCAATGCTTTGAAGTACTGCCTCTGAGGGCCAGACTGTGCCCTTATATTTGCACCTTCTATCACCTCATAGAGATCTTCTGGTGCAAAAGTTAGTCACAATTATCAAGGTAGAGACAGAATACAAAAGACAGATCTTTATACATCCTCATGTGTATTCTCATGTTCACCCACTCCACCAGCTAAAACTAAGATTAGGATCTCCTCTCACAGGCTTCACCTGCACAATTTCCAGAAAGATTTTCACTATACTCGCAAGGCAATGTAAAGGAACAACATGGCTCCCAGTGAGACTAGTTCGCTGACTGTTACAGACTCTTCAAAACATTCAACATTGTGAGCTTCTTCTTACTTAATTTAGACTGAGATCACCCAGAGCCTGCATGTTTTCATCTTGTTTGGCATTACCCATTTTGAAGGGAGCCTAACATTTCAGTCTTATCCAGTCTTAACCTGCTCACTTGAAACTGTTTAATTATGATTTGTCTTAAAACTCTTTATCTTCAGTACTTGATGATCTGCATACCCAGTTTATGACCAGAGAAAGTTCTAAGGTAACTTGTGAGCTCTCAGAAACATAGCTCCTACTGGAGAGAATAATGATGTGAGCTACTGCCACACGAAGGATGCGTTCAAATGCAGAACTGATCCAAGTTTATAACACTCCACCATTAGACCAACAGTAAAATAAAGAAACTTGAGAGAAGCCTGATGGAAAGGGTGCAGGTTTCCTGCTTCTGATGACCAAGACTATGGTAAGAATATGCAAAGAGTGGAGAAATTCACTAAGTTTACTGAAACAATACTTGATTGCATGCCAAGCACTCCTATTGTAACAAAGAGGTTTAAAGTCCACCCCAACTCCTTCTGGTGTCGAGAATCAGAGCGCTCTCTGCTTCCCAGGCTGGAGCCATAAAAACCAGACTAGGCAACACAGCAAACCCATTTCTGGAATACATTTTTGGCTGGACCATGTCTTTAACAGATACAATATGTTAAAGTGAACATATAAAATTGTTACCAAAAAGCTGCAAACTACATAAAAACACTTACTTTTCTTCATCTTGGACCAGGTATGTGGAAAACAATTGTCATCATAAAACCAATTCTTTTTATTTGCTTTCATTATTTAATCACATCTTATTTCTTCCAAACTAAACAGTTCTACAGTTACGCACCTGGCTGCTCTGGGATGTTCTCCTCTCGGAGTGGAATGGACCAGCTTTTATTCTTCCGACCTCTAGTCTTACCGTACCTAATGAACACTAAAGAACCAGTTATTTATAACACATCTCTTCTGTCTACAACACTAAAGTCTATGACAATATTTAAGTCACTCATTAGATGGTGGAAGAAAAAAATATGTACAGAGGGGAAAATAATGGGCTAACAACCCTGCGATGAGCACTGAGCAGACAGAGCTCGTGGCAGGATCAGAACCACGCAAACTAAGTACACCATGACATTCAGTACTGAGGAGGGTACTTTTCGGATTAACCAGTATTACAATACAGATGTGAAAATTACACAAGACGACTAATTCTGTTACCTTTCACTTAACAGGAAGCAGTTCTCCCACTCTTGAAATTATCTGCTACTCTGGATCCATACCAACATAACTAAAGAAATTTTGGGCAGGAGGTTTTCCAAACATCTATCTGTAGTTTAAGTGACCGTTCTGCATCTGCCTCCCAACAGGAAGCTGGGTGATACGGACTGTTTGCACATCGGAAAATACTGCAATTACTCTTTAAGCTTTTAATTATACTATTAAGTATTTACACATCTGCATAAAATGCATGTCTCAGAAGAAAATTCATCCTGCAATCAAATATTTAGAAACCAAGACATTAGGCTAATTTTGGAAACAGATAGGTAAGTTATTATCACATACGACATTTAGAAAACTGGACTTCCAAAACAATACAAGTAGTGTCACAAGATGACCACCTATCTGCAACATACTCAAATACAGAAACGTCAAAGTTTTGATGCTATTCTGCTTTTTCATCTTTCTTCCACTAGGAAGTTGTTAGTATGAACTCCTGTACCCAAAGTACTTAATATTACATAAGTTTGCCTTTATTTATCATGCTTCAGCTGTATCACCCTACGAGAGGTTCATGTATTTGTCAGAAAATTCGTAGTATGAAATAGACCAATATATCAAAACTAACAACAGGACAATCCCATTCAAACAGGATTTCCATACCTCATATGCTGTTGCTATTCTCTTTAGGGGTGACACTAAAAGAGATTTATTACTAAATTTTTTTGTTTTTTAAATAATGTTGACATTTTAAATAATGTTGACTTCTTTATGTCCTGGAAAAGACTTGATCTGGGCTCAGGCAAGACTATTCTTTCCTGCTTGAATGAATTGACTCGTATTAAACCATACGGAAAACTCTTATCCAAAATGGAAAACTGAAGAAGTAATCTATTTACCTAAAATTACCACATCCTCACATAAAATGCAAACCCACAAATGAGATTTTAAAATTATAATGTGTGAAAGTGGGAGGTAATACTTTCTAACTGAACTTGTGAATAAACCAATTCACATTTAGTTTTGTTACAGCTTTCTCTCTCTTCCTGAAATCTCCCATTTGATAAATCCTGAAGTCAAATGAGGGGAAAAAGTGATCAGCTTTTCACATTTTTTAGGGATACTTAAAAAGAAACACTGCAAGAACAGGAAGAATTCTCAGCCTGATGACACATTCTAGTGGTCTCATGCTACTTAAAATACATCGGGATTTTCCAAAGATTATAAATAATTTTGTAGCAAAATACATTCCAGCCAATTCAAGACAAATCGCTTCTAGATCTTAGTCTTGTGAATCAAAACAGAACTGATACCTGAACTAAAAATGGTAACTGCCTACATGAGTGATCATGCTTTACTCCATTTATGCGTGACGAACACAGAATTGTTAATAATATATCTGAGGTATTTTAAAAGCCTCATTTCTCAGGGCTACGACAATTAATTACAAGTACTACTGAGTGGGATGAAGTATTTAAAACATGAATATACGAATGACAAGTGGGAACTAAGAATCTTCAACTAGATACTACAAAACGCTTGCCAAAATGAAAGAAACTTTCCACATAAAATGGCATTTTAATTTAGAGGAGATGTAAAAGTGCAGTATATGAAGAAGAAACACACTGTCCTTAGATAAAAAAAATAACAGGTAACAATGTACTATTACCCCAGAAGAGTATATTAATGAGTTCACTGCCAGAACGAAGACCCAGTTCTGGCATTCTCACTTCTGGGCACATGCTGAAAATACAGAAAAAGGGCTCCTACCTCCCCTTTCTAACCCCCGCCCCGCTCCCCCTGCCAGAAGAAAGAAAAAAAAAAAAAGCTCAAGGAACTGTTAAAGACCTGGAAAAATATACTTTTGAATGTGACTGCAAAGAAGCATGATCACATGTCTGTGTAAGGAATGTCTCAAAACCCTGGATGGAAAATAGACAAGCTGGCTGACCAGCTGGACTTCCTGCCAGACCACAAGAAATGTTGTATATCTGACTTCATGCTGATTTGGAAATAGGGGGAGGACATCAGAGGCACAAAATTTATTGAGAACAGAAATTCTGGTTCCAAGAGCTGTAGGTAGGAGTCTATTTCAGTTACCTTTGTGAGAAAGCAATTTGTTATACTAGATGCCTTGGTCACTGGAAAATGCATTATAGTATTTAATTGATGTAAGGTGACACTAGACATACAGAGAAAAAAAAAGATTAACATTATCAACTGTGAAAGTAATCACTTTTTGGCACAACTACTCTGATGAATTCTCCATCATTTAAAGTCAGTTCTGCATATCTTTCTAAAAATGTGAGATAGTTACCCAGTTACTAGTTTGTTGCAGAAAATACAATGTTAAATTTTAGGTTGTTCTAGGTAATGGTATTCTATTGCCCTATAAACGTATGGCTCTCTGCACCACCACTACTCCCATTTTCATCAGGCAAAATATCAAAATCTGAATGCTCTAGAGTTCAGGAAGCTTAAATTTGGATCCACAGCTCCTTCTCACTGACATCTCAGTAAAAGTCTGAATTCAGTCTAATAAAACTAAAGCTTTCAAAAAATTTGGATCTCAATTCTTCACTTTTATACACCTTCTCTTTTCCCAATACCTTTAGCAAAGCTGCAACAGCCTCCTGGTTAGCATTTCGAACATCTTCTCCATTCACTGTCAGTATCTGGTCTCCTTGCATCAATCTCCCATCTGTATCTGCTATTCCTCCTTTGACGATGTCTGACACAAACACGCCCGTATCATTTCTGCAAATACACGCATGGATTTTGCATTACAGTGTTGCCTGAGGCCATTTTTATGGCTTGCTGTTGGGAACACAATGAACAATATCTCATTTTTCTGTTGAGTAACGTTGGACTAGTTCCTCTAAGAATGGCCAATTAGCTGAGGCACGAAAATGACATGTATGGCCTTCAAGCCCACAGGATCTGAGCACTAGACCCCAACAGAAACATGAGCATGCCCAGCAAGTCCCAGACATTGACTCTCCAGTTACATTCACACCTTTTCCCAACAATACTCAGCCCAAGGCCTTTGCCAGGCTTCTTTTGGAGCTCTATATTGAGTACATCATACATGTCTTCCTCCTTGTACTGGGCCTCATCTCTGTACACAGTCAGACGGACTTTTTGGGGAGTCTGTCGGAGGACATTTATCGCTTCATCGTGTACTAATAGTAACTTCATCGAGAGCATGCTTTCCTTCCTTGCTTGTAAGAAAGCTATAAAGCTATATGAAGCAGTGTCAATAGCTTTACTAAAATGAAAACATGATATTTGCCCCTTCTTCCCTGTCCATAATGTCTGTGACCTTGTAACAGAAGGAGAATAATGTTGATTTGATACTGCTTTTCTTCAGAAATATATGTTGGCTATTGCTCTTTAGTTTGTTACCTACTGGCTGACTTAGAAGGAGATTGATGGAATGGTTTGTTTTTTTTCCTAGTATCCTTCCAGGAACTGAAGAACTGAAGTTGGGGTGATTTGTCTCTCCCTTCCCCCCCCCCCCCCCCTTTTTTTCCCCTGAATTGGTATCTTTACTATCTTTTTATAAATGCTACAGGAACAAATGAAGAAAAAATCTCTTCTATCAGACGTTTTAATTTCATTATTGTTATTTCATTTGAGTGACAGACATATTTTTCCAACCAACCAGCAAAGTGTCTGCTCCTCCAACAATGCTCAGGCCAAGACCAGTCCGCCCTTTGGAGATATCAATGGTTGTTTCACATCCAGGAATGATGGGACAAGTAGCTGGGTCAGAGGCTAACGTGGCTGGAGTTGAAGATCTGCTTGTATCTAAAACAGTAATTAAACATCCTGGTTACAGTAAGAGGGCTCGATATTAGAAGAGTGACTTTGAAACAGCATTTTGAGAGTTCATTGACAGCTCTACAGCAACAGCTGAACAGCTGACCTACTGAGAATCATGCTGCCAACTCTCCCTTTCCCTCAGGGAAGTACTACCCTGTAGTTTTAATTGCAGTTGTCCTGTTTTTATACCATCAAGTACCTGGATCACGGTTTTGAGTTTCCTGATAAAATACCACACACTATGTGCTGTATTTGTACTATCAAGTTCACTCTTACAGTCTGGATAGCCAAAGCTATTTTAAGCAACAGATTTTATTTAGGATAGAATTTAATTTAAACATCTATACCAACAACTATGCAATGTAGATCAGAGATAACTTAAGTACATAGTATGTTTTAAATACATGGATTCAAGGATGTCAGCCCTGAGCTTTTGCAATGGGTCAAGTCAAGGTCCATCTGACTATATATTCCATCCTAGACTCAGATCTGTACCATCAGAAAAAATATTAAGTATGAATCAAATATAGTGGTATTTCACAATTCCAGCAATCCATGGTCAAGTCAATATATATTCTCATAGTGCAAACATATACAGCATCCTTACGTAGCAATTTACCCATAAATTCAGTATCTCTGGTATGTCACAAATGGATCTTTACTTCAGTACTTTAGTCAGTTCTGTATCCTCCACAGAAAAACGAAGCTAAAAGTACTAGGAGGGGATATATTGTGTAGCAACTAAAGGAAACAATCAGCAATGAAAACGTCTAGGATGTTCAGATTATCTCTATGTCCCCTCTGCTTTAAAGAAACACTAAAATTACATTTTTTCCAAAAAGTAAAAGCAGACATGTAAATCCTTTTGAGGCACTTTAAAAGGGTACTGATTCAAAGAAGTTTCACTGAAACTAGCAGAGGACTTGACCACTAAGAAATATTCACTTACGTTAGACAAATACTTAGGCATAGTGTGAGCAATAAGTCCTGCAGGAGCAGTAAGCCTCAAAACTAAGAGGCATGTTGGTCTCCTGTGTGTTTCTTAAGATTTCTTTACAGCAGGATAATTGTGTACCAATACTACTGCTAGTAATGGGCAAGAGAAACGTGACTCAGTAATACTTGCAGTGATGTACATATAAATTAACTGTGATGCGTGCATTACTCAATTACATTATTATTAGCTTCTTAGTAGCGAGCTGCTTTAACCAATAACCATCATCAGTCAGTCACATCTTGACTCTTGACAGGGCAAGTCAGATGTGGCTAGTCGTAAATGGCAAGACGGTCTCAACCACTCCCCTGTTCTAGGAAAGATGACATGACTTTTCTCCCTCATTTAAAGGAATGCCTCCCACTTAGTTCTAGACAACCATGACAGAAGCACCTGCTGCACAGCCTTTGGGAGGGAGGGAGGAGGAAATCCCCCCATGCTCCTGCCTCCACAACAGGCCAGTAGGAAGGGCAAGAGTCAGGTCTTCAGTGTGGAGCCTCACTGCTTTATTTAGATAGATCTGTAATCCGTAAGTACTAGAAAGTGCAACTCAGAACACACCTGAGTGCATACAAAAAGAGAAAACTTGTTTACAAGCTGGGTCTTCATTTTTCTGTCACAACCCCAGTGAAGACAGACACAGAAGGAAAACCTTACTTTTGACTGCTTCTGGTTCCGGTGAGCTGGAAGAGGGGACAGTTGCTGGTGGCTGCATATTCCTCCTCTCTGCTGGGGCAGTGCTGGAAGGGACCGGTGCTGCAGTCAGGCTACCCATCTCTGCCGAGTTGATAGTAAGCCTCACCATAGTTTTGGATGTCTTCAGGAGACTAATAAACTGAATGATAAAGCGAAAAGCTGGTGAAGAGTGTAACCGGGCTGTTCAGTTGTAAAACGAAAATAAAGCAGAAAAACTGTTCTGCAAACTGGAGCTACAAATCATAATCCTGCAGGTTTTCTTGGTAATGAACAAGGACAAATAGTGATGTTTTTTTATAAGAAACAGCAATAAAGTTAACTGTGGGCCAGACCTGGCCTATGTTAACCAAATAGCTTCCATGAAACTTTCCCTAACTGTACCAGACAAGAATGTGGCAGTCTTTCAATAGCTTCTCTGGACAAAACACTACGTTTATAGCAATTATTAGAAAAATCACAAAACTAGTATTGTCTTTTAATGCTCGGGTGGAGCCCAATTCAGATCCCACATAAGTCAGTGCCAAAACATCTACTGATTTAAATAAATGTGCTACTGCCATCCTACCTCCTTAATCAGATGCACAGCTGGAAGGGACCACAAAAATGATCAGAGGGAGGGAACACCTCTGCTATGAGGACAGGCTGAAAGAGCTGAGGTTGTTCAGCCTGGAGAAGAAACAGCTGCGGGGAGACCTTATTGCGGCCTTTCAGTACTTAAAGGGGGCCTACAAGAAAGATGGGGATAGTCTTTTTAGCAAGGCCTGCTGCAACAGGACAAGAGGTAATGGTTTCAAACTAAAGAAGGGTAGATTTAGAGTAAACACAAGAAAAAAAATTTTCACGATGAGGGTGGTGAAACACTGGAACAGGTTGCCCAGAGATGTGGTAGATGCCCCATCCTTGGAAACATCCAAGGACAGACTAAATGGGGCTCTGAGCAACCTGATCTAGTGGAAGATGTCCCTGCCGACTGCAGGGGGTTTGGACTAGATGACCTTTAAAGGTCCTTTCCATCCCAAAGCATTCTATGATTCTATGGTTAAGGAAAACCTGTCAATATTATCTGAACTATGGGAGGGAGAGATGGACACTAGGATGTAACACAAAATCTAGTTTAAGGGGATACTAAAAAGCCTTCAAAATTTATTCCCATCTCACAGAAAAGACACCAAATCCTCTCAAGATTTTACATTTCAGCAGAATTATAAGTATTTTCAGAAATTACTTACTCAATCTCTCCGTCTCTTCTTCCAAAGCCTACCTACGTCCCTATAGACAACTTCACTATCTCTAATTCATTTACTGCTTCAGAGATAGCAGCACATAAAAGAGTAAGATGGATGCTCTCCCAGTTGCCCTTTAACAAACAGAAAGTGATCTTCTCATGACTAAAGAATCACTTTTCTTGGTAGCAAGGCAGGTGCTGGAAAAAAGCCCTCCTTGATTCATTACAGAACCCAAATTGAGTTTGCAGAGCTAGAAGTTAGAAATAAATCTTGTTATTTAGGAATGGAGATAGTTTTCTCCACAGGTTTGAAATACCAGGCTTGGAATATAATGAGGCCATGATTACAGACATTCCCCATGTATAAGCACAGTTCATGACCTGATTTACCACTGACGCAACTCACCCTTGCAAATTTACACATATTAATTTTACTGGTTCTAATACTTTTCATAGAATCATAGAATACCAGGTTGGAAGGGACCTCCAAGGATCACCTAGTCCAACCTTTCTACGCAAAAGGACAGTCTAGATGAGATGGCCCAGCACCATCTCCAGCTGAGTCTTAAATGTGTTCAGTGTAGCAGAGTAGCATAGCAGAGTCAACCACTTCCCTGGGGAGATTATTCCAATGATTGACTGTTCTCATTGTGAAAAATTTGCCTCTCATGTGCAATCGGAATCTCCCTGGGAGTAACTTGTACCCATTACCCCTTGTCCTCACCATGTGACTCCTTGTAAAAAGGGAGTCTCCATTTTCTTTGTAGCTCCCCTTTAAGTACTGGTACATGGTGAAATGATATTTGAACTAAAAGTGCTTTTTTTCCCCCCAAATGATAAATGTTGCTGCACAGAGAATTGGGATGAATATTTTTTTCAGATGTATTATACTGTTGAAGATTATGCACAATACATTTAATAGAAAGCCTTCTTCAGCATGATGAAATAGTTCCCATTTTATGTGAATTTGTAGCTGTAACACAGGAAAATATTTATTTTTTTATTTATTTTTTTTTTTGTTCCTTTGTCAAACAAGAGAAGATAAATATCGTATTGAGTATAGAACATGAATTAAGAGTTGTTTGGTTTTTTTTAACTCATTGATCTCTTGGATTTCAGTTTTAAAATACCTCATTTTTTATTTTTCTTGAAAGAATAACCTTGATAAACTTCAGAGGCATGTTCTGTGGTTCATTACTTTAGTCGTACATAGTTGCATGTAATGTACATTAAGTTCCCTTCCTAACTTGGCAATTTTTGAGTTATAAAACTTGGTCATATGTATTATGTGGTAGAGAAAGATGTTCTCTCTCTCTTTTTTTTCTTTTTTTTTTCTATTTCATTGTTTGAGAGAAAGCAGTACTTGTATCTATGATGACAAAATATATATTACACTGGGTAGCTAGGGCAGAGGAATTGGTTTATAAATAGAACTTGTGCATGCGGTGGTTTGTGTTAACTTGCTACATATGTTTTTCTGGAAGGTTTAATCATGGAACAAAGATCCTTAGGTTTCTATAAACCCTTATGACAGGGTGAAAGCCTTGGAGAAGTCCAGGTAGACAACGTCCACCGCTCACCCCATGCCAACCGAGCAGGTCACTTTATCATAGGCGGCCACCAGATTTGTCAGGCACGATATGCCCTTGGTGAAGCCGTGTTGGCTTTTCCTAATCACGTGCTTCATTTGACTCATGATGGCCCCCAGCAGGATCCGTTCCATAACTTTCCCAGGGATTGAAGTTCAAGACTGACGGGCCTATAATAACCTGGATCCTCCATTGAGCCCTTCTTGTAGGGGTAACATTTGCCTTCCTCCAGTCCTCTGGGACATCCCCTGATCTCCATGACTTCTCAAACGTTATAGAGAATGGCCCCGCAATGATGTCAGCCAGCTCTCTCAACACCCTCGGATGGATGGCATCAGGGCCCATCAATTTGTATGGGTCAAGCTCCTGTAATAATTCACATACTAACTCCTTCTTCACTGATGGTGGGTCTATGTTTGGATCCTCCTGGATTTTCGTTCCCAACGCCTGGGATCCAACAGTGTTGGTAAAGACAGAGGTGAAGAAGGTGTTGACAACCTCTGCCTTTTCAGCATTGTTGGTGACTGATTCACCTCTACTGTTTAACAGTGGGCCTATGTTTTCCTTCTGTTTCTGCTTGCAACTTACATACCAGAAGAACCCTTTCTTGTTATTTTTGGCATCTCTGGCCAGTTCCAATTCAAGCTGAGCTTTTGCTTTTCTAACTGCATCTCTGCACACTCTGGCAATGCCCTTGTAGTTCTCAGTGGACAATCTTCCACTTCTGCATCTCTGGTACACATCTCTTTTGGTTTTAAGCAGACCCAGGAGCTCGTGGTTGAGCCAAGGGGGCCTCTTGCTCCACTTACTTCCCTTTCTTTTATAGGGGATACACTCGTTTTGTGCTTCCAAGAGAGCATTCTTGAAGAACTCCCAGCACTCACTGGCTCCTTTATCCTCCATGGAAGCTTCCCATGGAATCTCTCCCAACTGAGCTCTGAGAGAGCTGAAGTTTGCTCTTCTAAAATCTAGAACCCTTGTCTTGGTGCTAACCTTCAGCATGCTCAGCCAGATCCCGAACTCCACAATATTGTGATCACTGTGGAGTAGCTATGAAGAGTCACTATTGAGCAATAGTTCATGGGTTTTATCCCACAAGTGTCTCTCAGTCATCAGATCTGAACCACAGGGGAAAAAAAATCACATTTGTAGCACAGAGATAGATGATTCATGTAGTGCATTAATGTAAAATAGCAGCTGAGCTTTAAATTCAGGCTCTAGCTTATTCTGCAGTAGTTTCCTTATCCAGACAATGCCTGCAGATCTTTAGTTCTTTAGCCAGCTTTGAAAATGAAGTCAGAGTATAGTCATGAAAACCTCACTGGTTTGTTTAAGACACAATCACCTCCTACATTAAGTGGTGTGATTTCTGCAACATTCCTGACACTTCGGAAGCACCTTTTCTACTGGATATCCCACAACAATTTCATCATCCACTGCCAGGATCTGATCTCCAACTTTTATTCGTCCATCCTGGAAACAACATAGAATAAAATACATGAGCTCTGGATGCTACTCCAAAAAAACATTTTTCATTCTCTATTCAGATTTTAAATGTTTTCACACCTTTGCTGCTGCACCATGATCTGTTAAGCTCTTAATAACTACTCCATTAATTGTGTCTTCTTCACTAATGGCAATTCCCAAGCCTCCTTGATCCTGGGGCAAAGAGAAAAATGCAAACTGTTAGGTACTGTGTTTATCAAAATGTTAGAATACTAAAGACTAGTGAAGCCTGCGGACGTAACAAAAGTTTAGGTTTTCACAATGTATCAATACTTTTGTTTTAAACACATCTATTTCTGAAATAGATTTTGCCAACCTACAAACAGTATATTGCCTACCAAGATAAATCTGAAACACTTCTAAATTCAAAACCACTCCTTTGAAACTTACACGGTCAACTGTGATTCAGTTGTTAAATTCATAAATAGGAGTAAGAAACACGAAATATTTGGAAACTACGAACTGAGGTAAATAAAACTTCATGATATAGCTTAAATTCATTATTTGAAACCACAGAAAAAATACACACAGGAGTTGAAAATACAGAGGATGGAAAAATGTATGCTCTTCCCATGAAATTAGTAAATGTTTGTGGCAGAGTGAAATTTCCCTAATGCTTTCACCTAGAATTAAATTATCTGGATACCATCATCTCTAAGATAGTCTCCTGGTTAATAATGGAAGGCTAGATGCCTTCCAAAGAGAAAAACTTATGAACGGTCTGCAAGTCTCTATCCTTATGTCCACTGAATGCAACTGTCTTCTCCATGTCAATAAGCAGGAGCAGCAATTTTTCCACCCTCCTTTGGCAGCTTCATAGTTACAGAACACCTGGCCATTTTCTCCCAGCTGCACAATTTCCACTAGATATCCATGTTGTTTGGGGGATTTGGTGCTTACAATCTGCTAATTCATTTACTTTGAACAACTAAGGCAATGATTTTGCCTGAGGCACCACCAGCAGCTGGTTACCAAAAGTTTTGCGACCAGGACAAGAGAAGACCTCTTCCAGAGACACAGAGCAACTGGCAAACTTATGTGACGTTAAAGAGCCTCATGACATTGCCAAAGACAGTCATTATGTCAGGAAAACTTTGGGGTCCATTCACAAATAGGAAGAGAAGACCTCTAGAAATCTCTATTCTGACTTCCAATAAGTAAAGGACATATTTTGTTTGTCATTTAAAAGGGACTTCATTACAAAAAAGCGAGCTAGTGAATACAGATGTGGCTGATGTAAATTTAATTTTCAGCACATACCTTAGGGAGTTCTACATATTGAATGTTTTTACATGAACTGAAGTCAGAACAAGCACCGGAGTTTGCAGCACTGATATCAATCTAATAGGAAATGAAGACATAACTGTGAGTAATTCTATTCAACATTTTGCATCAAAATAAAGTTGCGCACAAACATTTAAAGTGGGTCTGATAATTTTCTGCATCCATTTAGACTGCTATAACCTTATTCACAGGAATGTTAGATTTACTTCATAATTTAGATGAACATAAAGTAAAACAGAATTAAGCACAGCTGTACTAAATTTAGCAGCTTTATTAAAATATCATTTGTTTTTCCCGTGGATTTCTTTTTCTTTTGTATCATTTGCTAAGCAGACGGGGCAATCCTCTATCCAGAACAACGTTAGTATCTCAGTCAAATGAGAAAAGCAAAAATTTACTTTACCTCTTGATGTTGAAGTGTCCCTGAAGTACACTGTGAAGCCTCCACTGACTTTCCAGGGCAAACAGCCATCTGATTTACCGCATCTTTATTTCTACAATACATTCAGTTAAAAAATGTAGTAAGAATGTAGGAATACAGCACCGTATTTCTTAGACCAAGTTTAAGTCTAGCCCTTTCTTTTACTTTGTTTCTGGCACTCACAACGCAAATACCAAAACAGAAAGCTCAAGACATATTTAACAACTACTAAGAACTGGGTTCAAAAGCACATGTACCTTACCAAAATTAAAACTAAAAGAGAAACACTCTGTGCAAAACTTGAGCATATTAAAAATAAACCTTTTTAGCTAAACTTTTAACCAGAACTTACCTGACAAAGATTATTTTTACTTTAGATGGTGCACATTTGATTATTGAGGAAGCATTCTGATGCGTCCTTCCGTAGAGTATTTGCCCATTTATCTATACAAAGGAAGGTAGCAATTATTTCTCAAAATACTTTAATTCCCTTCTTAAACTAATTTTTAAGCCTTAAAGAAATCCATTATCCCACATCACAGGCTAAAGCAGAAATTGTATTAAAATAAAAGAGTATGTTGTGTCCTGCTTTCACTCCCTTCTTCCAGGAGAAAATTCCTTATAGTTTGATTTCAGACTAACACTGTCATAGTGCTAAAAATGTCATTCTCTGAGTTATACTGGGTTGACTTGCCACATCATTTATTTCCACTTGCCATTGACCACCTCATGACTGATGCGGTGATAAAGCAGGGCCACGGCAAATCCTAACCATAACAAATAACTGAATCACTTATATCCAGCAATGAGATTGCTATTATTTATCGAATCTCGGCTCTGAGCCAGGCGCTTTATACACAGGAGTCTGAACACCAGTGCATTTTCAATGTGAAGATTTGACCTGACAATCATTATCTTCATGTGGCAGAGCAGACTCACTGCAACCCCTTGAAGCTCCTATGATTCAGATGATTGGAGGTATCAGCATGAATTTGCAGAATAAGGCCATTATTCGCTTACATTTTATTAGTTGCATTTGTTCTTGGAAATGGAAAACTGCAGTGCAGAAGTCCACTCTAAGAAAGGGGAAATAATTGGGAAAGGACAGCTTGGACCTGCACAAAGGGAAAATAATGCAACACAGACTGAGGTAGTACTAAGAGAAGCAGAGAAACAGCAAACAGTGAGCAACAGACGTGTAACACTACTGAGGGTTGAGCATAACAGTAAACCCTCATCTCCCATGCAGGTTGTGTCCACCAGGCATGGTCACAGTGATACTGAGCCCTGTCATTTACACTGGAGGTGACAATCCAGATGTAGCACTGCTTCCAGTGTTTGCCATGGGCTTGTGAAGAACCATGGTCAGGCTGTCAGCTGGGGGACAGGGCATGGCCAGCCACAGCTGATGGACAGCTACTTGGGAACATAACGAGCAAGCTCAGATATCTCCCCTCTGAAGAGGTTGAGACATCTGTTAGCATCAGTTTGTAGGTTTACAGCGTGGATAGTAAGCAAGGAATCACATGTGAGCAGACTCAGTGAGATGTGTTTCAATGTGTTCTGAGGATACTCAGCATCTCCAACATCAGAGTTTTAAAACCAGACATTTTAACTGATTCAAGGGAACCGTCTAGCAGGTAACACTGGACTCTGCAACTAACAGGTCCCTCCATGAGAGCAGGTCCACAGTGCCACAAATCCCTTAGTTCCTCTCTTAGCCTGCAACTGCCAGGCTACATTTTGTACTCTCTCAGTGTCTCCCTCAAGCTTTGTTCAGTCTCACCATTCCCTCCCTGTACCATCTCCCCACTGCATCCTCAAACACCTCCACACACAGTTTTGAATTTAGTTACACAAAGCATTTCTGTGAGGGTAATGTTACCTACTGCTATCAGAAAGATTAGGGAAAGCTATAGCAGAGAATACATCTGCAAGTATCATCAACTGAACTGTGGTAATATAAAAATATAGCTTATGCTCATACACATATTGGGAATGTTAGCTGCACATTCAGTGGTTGGGTCCCTCCACAAACCCACCAGAAAACAGCCCGAATGTGTCATGAGATAAAAGTCCATAATGCAAATGGATCTGTTCCTGTTTCCCCAATTTAATTTCCATTTTATGTTACACAACATAAAAATATTCTGATATTATCACACTTCCCATAGACAGAGAAGTAATTAGAAAGTCTGGAGCACTGCACAGATCGATGGACTAAAGGACTTCAGTATCTTCCATGGCCTGCAATGCACTGCCCTTCCATACATCTCCATAACCCAGAAAGTGCTGTCATCCCCCATTTTTTTATCCATTTTAAATACACCCACCCACCTTTACTTAGTACTACTATACTCAGGAAAAAAAATCCCAGCTGCAGCTATTTGGCATACACCAGAATGAAAATCTGGTAGCACAGTGATGTCAACTTGGATAACTTGGGGATTTCAAAGTCCACTGAAGAACATCTATATCGCAGCAAGAATCTAATATTTTAGTGCATTTTAAGTTAGTAAGTTTGGGTTTCAGTATAAATTACAAAAACTCACCTCTAGTAACTCATCTGCAATCTGTAACCTGCCATCTTTGCCAGCTGCTCCATTTGGATCAATTCCCACTATAAAGACACTCATCCTGGATCGGTCTTTGTTACCAGCAAGACTAAGTCCCAGACCGGTCCTTCCTTTTTCCAGCTCAATCATGTGTAGCTCTCCTGGTAGATTTCCATAGCGCTGCACGATCTTTTCTAAATGTAAAAGTGTGGGCAGCAGAGGTTGGATTTACATTAGAAAGTTTCACAAGTCACCTAGAGAGTCAAGATGAGTGTCCAGTGGGCAGCATCTGACAGAAGAATCCCAGACTGGATGAGGAAATTTTATGTGTACACCACACTTTCTTTTAAGCTAAGCTTTAAGTGATTTATAATAATATTTCTAGTTCCTTCTTTTCCTTCTAACTTCGGAAAACATTAAAACTTCTCTTAAAAAAAGACTTTTCACACATAAAAGCAAAAATCTTCCCTCCAGTAACACTTTCAGGTAATAGAAGCTATCACATCAATCACTGCCTTTAGTTACCTAGAGTACACTGGAATTCTTCAAGCAGTACTACATATGAAACAATTAATCTAGACCATGGAGGGAAACAGAGATTGGAGTGCAATGAAGAAGAACAAATTAGTTTTATAGTTCACCATGTGCATCTGACCAAGCACAACTGAAAGCTGACAGCAACATTTAACACCAAAACCACGAAGCACACAAGAACAAAGTAATTCAAACTGGCCCCCCTATATCTTCTGCTACAGTGCTGTTTCAACACTGAATATTTCAAACATTATCACAAAGGATAAACTTACTCCAGCTGTAACCGAACTCATCCTCCCTCTCCACATCCTCTGGGACTCTGATAGAAGATGACTGTACAACATCACAGCTCATTCCTGAAAATGCTGAAGGAGGGGGCAGAGGCAAGTTACAAAGCGAAGTCTTTTCTGGCTCTGAATCCGACTGACAGAATGCCTGTGGAGAATAAGAAAAATGCAGTGGCTAAGCAGATGCAGATTCTGAGGCAAACTACTATACAAAAATGTTAAAATGGCAATGACTATGGCTTTGAAGTTTAAATATCAAGCAGCTGGAATTCTAAATGAATAACACCGCACAGAAAGGCTGCAAGAGATCAAAGACAGAAACAAACACCAGGCAAGGTAAGAGATAACATCACTCCAAAATGTATTCAGAAGCAAACAGAACTCACAATAAAAGCCCAATTCAGTAAAGTTTTATGTGCCGCTTTACATTTCAGAAAGCCTCTTACAAAGACTCAAGTGATTTTTTTTTTTAATGCCATATTTGTAAAAGACTTCTACTTTGTTCTATTTTTAAAAGCGACCGCATATAATTTCTTCCTATGATATGCTTTGGAAGTCAAATAGGAGGAAAGGGAAAGGAAACAAAGAACTTGGTGCTTTCAAAAATGCCTCCAGAAAAAAGAAAATAACTGGTGTATTAACTGAAAGGACAATTTAAAACCAAAATGAAACAGATGATAACTGAAGAAATCCACAGTAACTGTGCTTTTTCAGTCTTATTTACTGGTTTCCTATAAGTTGCACACGGGAGATGAAATAAAGGAGGATACAGATTAAATCACAAAGGAGAAAAATACTTTTGGTCTTGATGCATGTGGTCTATTCATATTCACAAAGAGTATAAACACATGACTACTGCAGTATAACAGTTAAAGGCCCAAATCCACAATCTGGCAAGCCTCCATTCGAGTTAAGTTTCCCTGAGGAATATGGACTCCAATCAGGTATTTGGCTAAGTGTTTGTAATTTATATAATTTTGGCTTGCTCACACTAAACATGTAGGCAAGAAACTTATGTCTGAATATCATCATTCTGAAGCTTATGCATGCCCAAGAGACTTTGATACTTGGCAGATCAGTTGTTCATGTATATAAAAACTTTAGATGAAAACCAAGTATTTTTCCAACACTAGGATTTTCAGGTGTTGCCCTAGCTTCATAGCCCTGTTCTCATCATTTCAGCTTTCATTACTTCCATTAGCAGAAGTTTGAACACAATATCTCAGATGGTGTCTCTGAGTGCCAAAAACACAGACAATTTCTTCATCAGAGGTAACAGTGAGATGGATAGCAACATACACCCTGGAAGACTTCAATTAGCTTTAAATTGAAGGTGTTAAAAAAAAGTTACCTATTTAGTCATACTGAGATTTAAGAAAGGTCCCATCTCTCAGGGAAAATGAGTTACCTTCATTCTCTGTATACTCCAAAGATTTAAAGAGAACACAAATGCCCTATTTCAGTTCCCTCATTCTGCTTCTGCTAGAAAAAGATTTTCCTTTCATTCAGGAACTTGCTCTAGGAGCTGAACTAAGAAGGCATTAAATGTCAAAAGTGTGAGAAGTTTTAATATGGCACCAGAGCCAATCATTTGTATAAAAAGTCCCATATAAATGCCATATGATTTTTTGTATCATTATATCAGTCACATTGATCTGTACTTCAAATCTAAGACAATGCCATCCTGCTGAGATGATGCCTTGCATCAATTATTTACAGTTTATGCAAATTATACTCTAAAACATGCTAATAGTTACAGGGCAGACATAAACCTCAACTGAAGCAGTAAAATTCTAGCAAAGACATTGTTACCCATCAAAATCAGAACAGGGTGGAAACACTACTTAACAACATTCAACGTCATTTTTCATAATCACAAATTCATGTATCCACCATGGAGAAAAGCTGGTGACAGACCTCTACCTCAAGGAGAGGTGAAAGGGAGAGTAGTTCTAGAAACATTAATTTTTCAGAGTGCTTCCTAGAGCTTTAACTAGAAAGCTACATAACATAGTGAAAAAATGAGGAAATACAGTGTGAGAGCAGACCAGATCAGCAGACCTTACAGTAGTCTCTGTGTTTTAAAACCAAAATTAACATATCACTTTAGTGGTACTCTTGGTAAATTACAGTGTCCAAGAACTTTGCAGAAGTCAAGAAAACTTGACCAAAAAAAAGAACAAAAAGGTGCCATCAAGGACCTCTGGAAGTTCTATAAGGTGTGGATGTATGGCTACATGCTGACAGATTAGCATTTATGAACTGCAGCCACCACAATCTGATTAACAAAAAAATGCTTCTTTCTGTACCTCTGTGCATGTGTACATAAATCTGAATGCACCTGCTGTTTAAGGAAATGCTGAAATGAAAGTAAAAGCAAGGCTCCTTTGTGAGAAGGGTAAAAAGGGTGTTACAATGCCATTTGGGCGGAGGGGACCACGTCCTGCCTCCAGAACTCAGCCTGCCACGCATGCACCGCCAGCAGCAGAAGCTAGCCCCCGCAGTTTACACACACATAAGACTTTTGCTCCCTGAATCGGGCCACACACAAAAAAACTAAAACGCTTTAACTCATGAAATACTTTCAGTGTGCCACAGCACAGTATTTCATTTAAAACGAAAAGCATCAGACAGTGCATGAACCCCTTTGGCTACCAGGGTCACTCTGATCACAGCCAAGCAAATATTAAAAATGGCAGCAAGTCTGGAGCAGTATCACTTTCAACAAAGGAGGCACACGTGGAGGAAGAAGCAGTACTCTGGAAGGTATCACAGGCCATGTACAAACGTACAGCACATATACGGTAGGACCCACTCACTGGAATCAAGACAAACCTTGAATGGTGTGGGAGCAAAAGGGTTAGTTGGGGAACAACGGAAGGTAACCCTAATTGGATTCGATACCTCCTACAGTAACAGAAAACAGCAATCCACACGTTACAGCACCTTTGGCAACACAGCATTATTAATGAGTAACTCATTTTCAATTACCGATTCATTTTACTAACCGCAGCAACTTTATTAACTCCATTTATAAATGGACAAAAGTATTTAAGAGGTTATTAAGGACCCTGATGCAGCAAAGTTTCTTACTGTACATGAACCTCAGTTCAGCAGAAGTGGACAGAGATGACAACAGGCCATTCTTATCTCAATGTTAAAAAAGGAATTATGCAGAAACTGCAAAAACATTACGTTTTCTCTCAAAATATGTGCAAATTTTTTTCAGAAATACTTTTGAAAATACAGAAAATACAAGACATCATTTATGTTATTCTTCTACTCTCTTTCCTCAGAACTGTAACAAATACAAACACAGATTTCAAAACCATGCATTTAATTATTCACCACATCATAAATGTTTGTCATACATTCGATATATTTGACAACATGGGAAAATAGACAAAGGGCACAATCACTCCCAAGAGGTATAACCAGCTAGAAATTATTTTATTAAATCAGAAATGCATGCACATAAGAATTAAGCTTTTTTATTGTGCTGGAGGTTAACTCTGTTCCCAATATGAGTAACATGCAGTAAGCACTAACCACAAAAAACAGAATCTAACTTTTTTCGTATTTCCAAAGATGTCAGCATCCTGTTCATGGTGCATTAAGAGAACTTCAAGAAGCAGAGGGAAAATATTTTCAGCATCATAAAATGAAAGCTGCCAATGTTTTTTTTTCATGCAAAAAGAAAAAAAGAGATATCAAAGCTGGAAAGTCCTAACCACATAAAAAGAAAATGAAGTACATATCAGCAAAACACCTCATGCTGATGAGAGAGTTACACTTAGATGGATATTTTAACATATACCAGAGGGACTCATTTTGTAATTGAGAACCTACTTCTTTGGTAGCTCTGATTAGATCAGATTTAGTGGTTATGATTAATAGAGCTGGCATTTTTTAACTTCTTCAAAACTTTTCTACGTGAATGCATGTCTGTATCTTTTTAATTCACTACACAAAATTTCCACTCTAATCAGCACAATATTTTACCCTAACTGGCATGAAAGAATTTAAATGCAGAGAGACACTAATGGCAAAAAAGCACACATATAATATTTGGTGAGTCAAAAGCAGACAGTGTGTCATCATCCAACCTTGTTAGTGTTGAACTGAGAAGAATCAGCAAATGGGTTAGTGCTGCTGAAGACAGCTGGCCTACAGAAAAGACTGTTCTGCAGGAAAGGCAGGGAAGGGTTCTAAAAGGAAAACATAATAGAAACTAAGTAAAAACATTTTTAAATGAACCCTTTGTGACTCATGAAACAAAACATATTTATTTAGCAGTTTGTGTTAACCAAACAAGGTCTGCTTCCTGCAGTTTGCTAGAGACATGTCAACTGAAGCAAAACTGTATTTGCACCGTCTTTGTATCAGCTACGTTTAGCAGAGTGTAGAGGAAAAGCACCAATCCTCATACTTGTTTTAGCCCTCAAAGTTCATAAAGTGCAGAATTCAGCAGCATGAACAACAGAAAATTTACTTGCTGTGCTATTTGTACAATTTTGTCCAAGCATCTCAGCATATGCGATACTCTTACACATTAGTTAATTATAAAATTGTGGATTTCTGGATTAGAATAAACACAATTCTTTGTAATAATGCAGTAGGTTTAGTTTTATTTTGAAAAACAGATTAATTCTCATAATTTGATTTACCTCATGTGGTAACACACTCACTGTGTATTTTGCAAAAGAGAAGGTTTAGTAATATTAGGCATCTCTAAACAGACTTCATATCTAATAATAACTTTTACAGATCATGCTGTATTTGTGTGCATGCATCTATAATTTTCTGAATTTACAGTTTAATGAAACTAAATTCTCTGGTCCTCTCCTTAAACAATACAAAGTACTTTATTATTATTTAACACAAGAAGAGTTTTCATATTGAGACAAAATTAAAGGATGTAATTTGATCATTTATATTCCTTATGCAGTTTTTGTACTGTACTCTATTTTGAGATCAGAACCTGTTTAATCAAGAGGGGACAGATCTGATTTTGCATAGTATGTTGGAAATACTGTTCAATGTATACTTAAAAGTCATTTCTACACTAGGTGTATCCATTTGGCAATTGCCTAAGTATCTTAGGGCTGTAAAATTAACACTGCTGGAAAATAAGAAGCAAAATAAGCGGAAAGGAATGTGAAAGGCTTGCAGCATCAACTGATACATTTATATCATGGTAATTTAATCCAGACATATGTTGCTGTTTAAATATTTTCTTAAAGCATTTTGGTTTTTTTAAATGCTCCTGAAAACAGAAAATACATCCCTAAACGTTTATTCTCAAATATCACTTTGCAAAACGAAAAGTAATGTAGCTTGGTAAGACAACATATGTCTTGATTCTACAGTATCTTCAGCAACGAGAAAGCAGAACTGTGCATGAACAAGGTTTCTTCACTGGCGAGTCGCTCAAAGTCAACAGGGAGGTTCCCTCTACAGTACAAGATTTTCTGTTTACACATTCATTTCACATGATTTTGTCTTTTATAAAGAGAAGTCTGGGAAAAGTAATTTGCCAGTGTAATGATCCTACTACACTTTAACCATTACACTTGTCATCTGCATAAAATTTTAAATTGTATCTTGATGAAATTTTAAACAACTAAAACAAGCATCACATTTTGTATATAAACAGTGAAATCCTAGTAAAAGAGAAAAAAAAAGATCAGCCACAGTAATTCAAAATTTTGCCTTTTGCATTTTGCCATGGTGGCATAGCACCTAAAAACACTACTGCTAGCTCAAACTCTAATCCATGCAACAGCATTGTATCAATATGGACTGACTACTGTGACAAAATATGGAGCATCTGAGTTTGCCTAAACAGTTAGGTTTTAAACAGTGTGCATGAAGTATGCTTTCTTGTACAGCCTAGGACAAGAAAAGCAAATGCTAAAGTAAAGAGCATTTTTTCCTTTTACTGTTTTTTTGCAAAACAGAATCTAAAATAACAGGATTTATTTTACCTTCTCTTTTTTTTCTTTTTTTTTTTTCCCTTTTTTTCAACTAACTTGTGTTCAGGATTTTATTAATGTGTCCAGGATGCTAAGGTATCAGAAACTAGGTAGCATTTCACATAGCATAATGCTGTAGCCCTACAAATTATCTGGGACCATAATCATGGTGATAGATCCTTACTCAGAAATACCCACAGCAGCATCAGCATGAAACACAGACTTAATGAGTAACTGCATGCTAGCAGAACTATCAACTAGCTTTTCACAGCCCATTTGCATTATTTGGGCTATTCTCCAGTACATTTACGATCTCTAATTACTACAGCAGCCTGAAGAAAACAAAGGAGAAGGAACTGACTCATTAGCAACATGTCACTTGAAACTGCCTTGTTAAATACATATTGGTACCATATTAAATATAACTACTGTGTGCAGGCAGCTAGCTATGTGGGTAGCTAGCACATGAATAAAGGCAGGAAATTCCCTTATAAGATGTTGTTATAAAGTACTGATGCAAGTTTCAAAGATGAAGACAATAAATATAATGCCATTTACAAAGACCACAACACAAAGCATATGTACAGTAAGAGCATTTGCAATGTTTCTGCTTACAGAGAAACCAGGGTTTGTTAATAAACAGTCAAGAAAAAAACTACAAGCTTAATAATTGGAAAATAAAGAAAACAAAGAACTACAATTAAAAATAGCAAAGGAGCATTCTCTAAATAAAAGTAAGTTGTGATAAAGTAATGGCATCATTCCTGTCCCAAACTGGCCTAAACATTCAGCAGTGGCAATTTTGCTCACATCACAGCAAATGCAAAAGCCTTATGTTAGTAGCTTGAGTATCAATAACCAACATTCAACAGAGCTTTTTCATGCAACTTTACCTTAGATGACTGATGATAAAATGGGTTAGCAGTTTTCTGCCCACAGGGAGCAGAAGCTGAAGAAGGGCTATAAAGAGACTCTGGCTGGGGAACAAGAGTTATGAGACAACTAGTAAATAAACGTACAGCTTACACAGACTCTACAATGAGGAAGTTTAGTTTCTAGTGATGCAAGCAACTTATATTAAAGCTCAGTAGCTTTTGTCTGCAATGTCCATGCAGCTTAGTGACAGAAAACTTCCGTGTACTTCTAGGTCCTTTCATTAACGTCCAATGAATTTTTTAACAAGTTCTGTATTTCTGCATGCGCTCCTCATACATGCTGTCAATCTCTAACAGTTGGTTTTAGTTAAGACTCCTACTCTGCCCCCCAACAAATTATCTTTCTTGAGGCTTTTCAAAATAGTTTGAGGACGGCGTGCTGGAGGGTAATTCCAAATCCAAATCGATTTCATTCTAAATGGAAATAATACTTAAATCAAATCTTTGTTCCTAAAATAGCTGAGATGGAACTTTCAGGATTAAATATCCCATTCCCAAACACCACCACCTTGAACATTTGTTTCATCTATTACTATGTATTACATCTCTTTCAATATTCTTTATGCTTACCCTTGGTCTGCTTATAATGCTCTGTACCATAAAGACTACAGGATTGCCTGCCTTCCGTATGGCTTCCACAGCTTGTTCATGGCTGGCATCTCTGAGATCAGTTCCATCCACCTGTAATTGGAAGGCCTCATCTTAACATTGCAAGAAGCTACAGGAATCATGAATTAGCTTTTGGTTAGGGAACTTCGACTAAAACCTAAGCCCAAACCTCCATTACTGGTGGAAAGGTTTCTACTGACTTGGCCTGGGATCCCTCACACACAGGTTTAAGATTTCCAAGAGCACTGAAAGGACATCAAGTAAATATTCTCCATGGTTTTAAAAACAGTAAATATTCTCTAAGGTTTTTCAACATTCTTGGTTCAGGCTCCATACGTTCCCCCACAGGCAACATGTATCTGTATCATAGAACAGATATGATAATAAGAAGAGATAAGGTCATCTGAAGAGAGTGGCAGTGTTTGCCACACACCACTTTCTGTAAATCCTATCTCAGAATAACCTACCTCCCAGGACTTTATGAGATTTACAAACTGAAACTTGTTAGGTGCTGGAGGGTCTTTCATTATGGGCTATTATGTCAGTACACTGTGCTTTTTTTCCTTTCTTTTCATTCTTTTTTTTTTTTAAAAAAAAGTAAGATAAGACCAATTTTAGCTACTAGACATTTTCCCCAGAAGTTAAATTTTTAGGACAGAGCTGAAAAGCTTTCTCTCTTCTAGAAGAAAGCATTTACAAAGGATGGCTAAGGCCAAATTTTTGCCTGGTTGCTTTTCTTCATGCCTTCATATGTATTGGTGTGTAAAACAGTTTGTCTTGTGATCCAGGTAAGAACCATGTTATGGTGAGGTTAGCATCGGTAAAGCATTCTCACAATGACCACAATAAAAGCTAGAAGCTAACACACAAAGGTTACTTGTTAGTACAGTTCTTGCACACAAAGTTATATAATAAGGATTACCACCTTTTTAATTGCCTAACTCTACCTTAAACTTAACCATCCAATGTAAATAAAGAGAGAACGAAAACAATCAGAGAGAGAAAATTCTAAACCCATGAGGAACTGAACAATAACACTAAGGCTCTCCGACTCCCCATGTCTGAAATACTGTATGCAGTAACAGAGAGAAAACCCTAGATATGCCACAACTTGAGAATAAATTGTGAAACTGAAATAATCCATTCAGAAACAGTCACATTAGTAACTTAATTTCACTCCCCCACTTCAACCTCAGAGACAATTGCTGCATTCAGGTATTCAGATATAAAGAATGTTTTTTAACTTTGTAGCAGATGGCAAACTGCAATGTAAGTATCACCATGTACAGCAAGCCCAGTCTGATCCAGGGGAAGCACCACCATCTCCATCACCCTGCTTGCTGTGTTCTTACTGATGGACAGCCAGCTAAGGATATCCAGTAGGGTAAGGAGGAGTGCAGTTCCTAATGGCCTGACACTGGAGACAGTGTTATGTCTGACTTATTGATAATTATCACGGGAAAGACACATTCCTTTCAGTGCGTTCATTCTTCAGAATCTTTAAGCGAGAAAGCAGAAGTGGCTGCATGAGCACAGGACTGGCTAAGCAGAAGAGAAATCCAGATAAATTCCTCCCTGCACCACCACTGGCTACGCTATCCTCAGGCATGAGCACAATGCTCTTAATTTCCTCTGTATCAAATCCAGCTTTCTTCATGTCAGGAGGAAAAACACTGTGTCCCCCTTAATTCCTGCACAAGATGCAAAAGAATGATGTCATCTGATTAAGATTTAAGAGGGAAATACGCTTGTCATTTATTTGCATGATTTGCTATTCACTGGCCATTTCTGTTGCTATCCAACATGAAACAGTAAAATTTTTTAGCTTCACCAAACTTAAACTTTTTCTCCTACATATGCTGGCTTTAAAACAGGCAGGTAGAACTGCTGGCTTTGTAGATCCCTGCTCACTCAGTCAGTCCTCTATGCTTTAGGTTGTATATTCAACTTAAAGCTGTCTGCACACAAACATCAGCAGATGGTACTACACTCTGTAAGGCTCAAGTGGTGCCAGCTGGAACAATTACACAGCTGTCGGCCCAGGACCACAGATCCATCTCAGCAGTTCCTGAAATGCTGGGGATATTGCAAGCAAAAGGCACTTGGCTGGTACCTCCACAATCCGATCTCCGGTTTTCAGTGTTCCATTTTTGCCAGCTGGGCTGTCTTCCAGGATGTGCTTGATAAAGATCCCTCTCATCACTTCTCCATTACTTAGACGGCTCCCCATCCCTCGTCCTCCAACAATGCTAATGCCCAGTGACTTGCTAGGCTCTCTCCAGAGTTCAACCCTGTTGTGACAAAACAAGGACCAAAATAAATGAAAATCTGTTGTGATTGTGACAATGCTGCATCTGCATGCAGCATTATGACATCTGGATTTGCACAATGGTTTAAGAACATTCAGAAATAACTTCTCCTTGGAAAGTTTCGTCTTTCCGTAGGAGTTATCTACTGAATTGTTCAGAAAGTCTGTAATTGTGTCTACTGTTGTTTACTTTATTTTAGATTCCAATCAAAACTTTGAATCCTTCTCTTCATCTCTTCTTACTGGCTCCCAGTGGGTCAGCCTATAAAGATAAATTACTAAAGCAACCAAGAACTGCTAGATTGCAGGGATTTAGCACAACGGCAGTAAAAATCAACAGTGAATTACTCCTGCAATGCACAATATATAGAAGTGCAGCAATTCTGTTGTTTTCTTATTCCTCTTAAAATATATTGCAGGGTTCAATTTTTTTTTATTTCAGATGATATTTTATACTGTGCAACTAGATCTACACTTACTTTCTGGGCTGGTTCCAGTTACTGAAAGCTGCATTCTGAAGCTCACTTTCTTCTCCCTCCCCCTCTTCACGTTCTGGAAGCTCTGGGAGTTCCCTGCTGATGAACAGGAACATGCAATTCATTTTTAAAGAACCCACATAATCCCTAGATTTCACTGCAAAGCACTGAGTATTTGTGGTGATAGGTAAATCAAATTGCATGGTATTTAAAAGAAGCTTACGATGAGGCAGTATTCAGTCTCCTTTTCAGGAAGATCAAACACCGATAAAACAGCCTTGTAAAAATGTCAGAAAAATTTGCTAGCCAAAGCAAAAATTGTATGCTGAACAGCTTTTTGTTGTAATGGCTGCTGGTCTAAAGAAAATCATCCATCTTTCAGCTCTTCTAAAATAAAACTTATCTTCCTGAACTGTGAAAAGTGTATGAAAAGAGTTATATCTGAGAGCCCTACGGGAGAAAACAATAAGTCTTTTGACTCACCTGACACCATGTGAAGGAAAAAGTTCAAGTGGCACAGATCCCTCTGTCTGTTGTCCCAAACTGGCCCTGTACTCGTCTAAATTTTCTGCTGGCACATACGTAATACTGCAATAAAATGGGACATGATTAAAGTAGCATGAGGACTGCTGGTCCTATCTTTGCTGGGTGTGAGGAATGGATATGAGGAAGCAACTCAAGACTATTTCATATAGTCATTGACTTCAAAGCCACAATGTTGGTATATTGGGAACAAGGAGTTATATGAATCCTTGTTGACTGCAACAAATACGCATTTATGGTCAAATTAGGTAGCTGAACAGCACATAATCTTCTGAGAGCTGGCCACTCCATTTTAAGTAAATGGTGCTTGAACACCATGAAGTAAAAGGTACTTGAACAGTGGCAAGAGTGTAACAGAGACAATCCAGCTTCGGTCAAAACAGAGATTCCTCGTGCAAAGACAAACACTGAAGGATCTGCAAGGTGTGAAGCACCATCACCATCCTGAATTCTGGCTGAAAATGCTTCTGGAAGCTGGCTTGCAGGACGTTTTGTGCTTTACTGGGTGGTTTTGTATCTATTTTAGGTTTCTATGCTTTTGGTGAAAAATACTGCATGGGTTTGGACATACAAAGATGTTACAGCACACCACCTATGCCATAGGGAGCAATCCCCTGCTCAACTCCTTCCTCCACCCCTTCATGCACTTCCAGCCAGCTTGGGACAGTCAGACAGCCATGTTTCACCAGCCAAATGACATGCAGACTCCTGAAGCCCTGGTGTAACCATGTTTGAATGCCAGAAACAGAAACGGCCCAATAGACTGGGGAGAGAGAACCAAAGAGAAGGAAAAAAAGATTAAGGCATGAAGAATATTTCTTAAAAAACTTCCCTCTACAGGCCAAAGGATGCCATGATCTAAACAGGGCTACTTCAATGGCTCTCCCTTAATGATGCTTTTTCTTCTTAAAGAACTTTAGTCATTTTATAAGCAGCTTAGCTATCAGATCCAAGTCTGCCAAGAAGTAAGGCTGATGGAAAAAGAACACAGAAAAATGGCTGTCCTCCCATTCATCAGATGGTTAAACGAAATATGAACATATTTCCCCACAAAACAGACTGGGCAAAAAAAAAAAATCTTGACCACTTCACAAGGACGTGTAAGCTGCTGAGGAGAGACTCCTTCAGCTCCGAGTCTCTCACTTACTTGGAGCCCTCTCCTGCCCGTCACTCCCTGACTGAAGTCCTCTTCTGTCTGTCACTCCCTGACTGCCACTGATTCCCCCTCTCATTGGTTTTCTGCTGAATATTCACAGCAAGCAGCAGAAGGCAGAGCAAATAAACTTTTATATGACTAATGCTCTCAGTCCAAAACACTCTACCCAAATTATCATAAGAAGCATCTTTATTTGTTGTCTTCGTCTGTGCCCAAGCATGTTCCCTACCTCCTCTCACATCTATCATATCTGGAAAACTGCAGAAGATGGTCATTAAGGAGGTTAGGGTGCTGAACAGAAGGAACTCTCCAGTTCTTTTAATGGAAATTCCTAAATCATCCATATTATCAGGAGCTCCTTTTCCCTTCCTTAAATCTCCTCTCTCTTCTGCTTTGGCCTTTTTTCAAACACACAAGTGTTAAGTGTTTGACACAAATTGTTTTCATTCTGAAGTGCTGGAGAACTAACATACACTATGGAAAAAACACTCAGCAGAAGGTCACTGACTCTTATCTGTCTTTCCTGAGGGCATTCCAGCACTGGGAAACATGCAAGACACACAGCAGTTATTCTGCAAAGCCCTAGCAGTGAAACAGAGAGAAGCAAGAGGGAAAGGAGTTTTTGAAAATAATCATTACTACTTCTCAGCCATCTCCAACTCCAAATGCACTGAACTACAGCAAAGGGCTAGCATTATGGTCACAAAACTCTCACGAGGCAAATGCTGCTGCAGAAGCACCAACCAGTAAGCCCACAAGAATACCTTGCTCTACAAAAGCTAGGAGATATGCAAGCTGCATTTCAATGAAAGAAAATGTATCATTCATCCAGTTACATTCATCCATTTCATCCCAAATTCATCAATTTTCACCCTATAAAAAGTAGGAAATAATGTATTTTCCCTCGAAAGACAGCTGCAGTAAAGAAACCAGAATTGCAAACAACATTTCTGCTGGTGAGAAGGCTTGGACAATGCTAAACTGCAGCTGGAAGCAAAGTATGGAAAGGAGAATGGCAGGCTCCTAAAAAGGAAACAGATATGCCTAGATACAGACTGGATGTAGACAGCAGAGTGTGATCACCGATAGCAGAGTGTCCAACATCTTTCAACTCTTGTCCAGTCCTTTTGTGCAAGGAGCGCATGGCAAACAATTATGCAGGGTTCCAAGGTCCAAGGGTAGCAGTAGTCCTTACTTCATACTTCTGTGCAACATAAGCATTAGAGACCAGCTACAGGGGAGGCAAACCATATGCACTCCAACTTCTGGGATGCCCTGTCCGTTTTTCATTATATGCATGAATAGCTCACATTGTGCTAGGACATTCAAAAGACAGCTCAAAGGATGCTCTGAAACACCCTTATATGCTACTTACAAACAACTCTCAAAATCTCTCTTAGGTAGGTAAAGTTCCATTACTGTGTACAGCACAGGAACAGGGAAGAAAAGAGGTTCCCTCCATCATTTTTAAAAATGCATCTAAAATTGAGCAACTGAATTACCTAATTGATTTCCACAGATGGAGTCAAATTTACATAGTATCACTGGGAGCTGTTACGTTTTAGCTCTTTGGAAAATTACATTATTGCTATTCTAGTGCTTAAATACAGTTCTAATTGCCTAATTTTAAGCACTCAAAGGAACATTCAATATGTTTTTAACTGTTCATGCTTATCTACAACTAAACTTCAATAATGCTTCAGCTACTTCATAAATATAAATCAGAACACTTAGTTGCATTTTGCAAAAAAAATAGCATAGAAAAGAAAACTAAATTACATGGATCAAATGCATGAAAAGGTACATTCTGTGCAGGAGTTCACCTTTGTTTCTTGCTCATGATTTCCAAAATTCAGTTAACTGCAAAGGCTTCCCTAGCTGCTCTTATTAGATAAGCTTTATTAGTGATGTGACTGTCCTCCTCCCCTCTCTCCTTTGCATGTTATCATTGAAATGAAAAGTTACACAAAAAACCTGGCTCTGCTGAAAATTAGAGTTTTCGGAAATATGTATACCAGAAAGTCATCTTTGATAAGTGGCTGGCTGTCCTGCTCCTGCTTTCTGTGACACAGCAATGCCAGATTGTATTGAAGACCTTGGATTTTTATCTGCCAAGAATTTTTCCCCTGTTTAGTACTTAATGGGCAGACATCCCACAGTTATCAAACCCATTACTTGCTGGATTGCTACTGTAGCTCACTTCTTGGAGGTCACAGTGAAGTCTGAAAACATCCAGCATCATCCTGAACTGCTCAGCGTGTGACCGGGGTGATGAGGGGCCCAGAACAAGAAGGGTGTTAGGTTCCTCTGGTCAACTCTGTTGACCCTTGTGGTGTAAAGTGGAAATAAAAATCCACCCAGGCACCTGAATGGTTCTTCTGCAAAAGGGACTGATAACTGCCTTAATATGGTCACAGGGAAGAGAGTAAGAGAAACAAGTGCCAGGAAATAGGGATGAAGACACAGAAAATAGGAAACGAGTAAATGACTGCTCTACTATTGTGTTGCATTTCTTATCTGCAAGAGAAGTTAAAGTTCAATAATTCCAAGGGTAAGTATATGCAGGGTTTAATCACTTCCTCTCTTTCATAGCTCTACAGCTTGAAGGAGAAAGCGTTCTGGTTTCCTTTCTTGAGAGCTACAACCACCCTCCTCCCCCCAGAGATATGCACTAGCAATGAAAGCAGCGACAATGGAAACACCAAAGGGTGTACATATGAAAATATCTTGTAAACACAACACTGCATGCAGTACAGAGGAACATTTATCACATGCTTGACTGAACAGCCACACAAAACCTTGAAACACCAACAAACCAAATAACAAAGTATGGAAAATGTTCAGGACAAATTACTGTCATTAACACTTAAGGTCTAAGTTGAACCTTTTTATACATGAAGGAAGTAAAATGTAAGTGCCACGGAAAATATGACACTGAGATTAATCCAGATATCAGCACATCATACTCAAGCCAATTCTAGCAGTGAACCCTGTACACACACACACACACACACGTGCTCTAAGCACGTCTAGGGTGGCTGTCATAGATAAAATTTTAAAACAGCAGCAATAATTTTTTAGAATACAGGTGCTTTCATTCCAGTCTTAGGAAGTATGCTCCAATCTTCAAGTTTAAAGCCATATATATACACATATATATATACACACACACTCATACCTTTTTTAAAAAATATACATATATACATATGCACATGTGCAGCCACATGTGCATGCACAGACACACACACAAAGAGAGAGAGAATATGTACCTATATCTGGATATATCCCTGACATTACTATGGATGTCATAAAAGCATGGGATGATTTTACAGACAAGTTGCAACATAGAGCCATAACGAGTTTCTGAATCGCCAATACTCACACATAAAAGAGGGCCTGATCATCAGCAGGTGCTGGAGAAGATCTAGAATGTGAAGCATACGATGCAGCATCTTTTTACAATGGTGTTAACAAATGTCAATGTCTCATGCTGAATGCGAGAGGCATACTTATGTAGTTAAAAGTGCGAGCTGCTTTTTTTTCTCCTTTTTCTTTTCTTTTTTTTTCCCATTCCACCTCCACTTCATCTACACCTCCCCCAGAAAGCATCTGCTCTTTATTATTGTCTATAGCAGTGATTATTAACAAGCACAGAAAATGGAATTGAAATCTATCTTTTATTTCTTGATCAAGAATTCATCCCCATACTTTAGGCAGGTGAATTCTGATTCAGCTCTGTAATTATCTGACAGATGTTACAAGCAGCTGCCGCTGCTGAGCACAAAACCCTGGCTATTATTACAGAAATGTAAGAGCTCCTGGCAAGGTGGAGTGAGAAGTGAAACAGAATGCATTCTGGTAAGGCCACACATCTGGTTTTCCACACACAAAGAGGAAAAAAATTAAATACCTAAGTCTGAGACTCTGATTGCTGGTTCTTGAACTATTCAAAATCAAATTTATTTTAATAAAATAAAACAAAGCCTTTATGTGGCAAGTAAGAACAGCTTTATGTTTTCTAAGCAAATAATGTTTGCCACTGAAACACAGCTTTGAAATTAAAATACTTCTGTTTAATTACTTTGGGGGGGCACCCTGCTACCCCAAAAAAACTCAGTTTAAAAGTTAAGGTGCCAGCTTTGTAGCCCTGTAGGGATAAAGAGGAATGATATCAAGATGGCCACACCTGAGTGCTTGTTGCACCCTTGCTTCCTGAGGAACACACCAAAGAGATTCAACTTGCTTATTTGAAATGCTGGCCCTTAAATCGCAAATGCTGCATGGTAGTGCATCTATATAGCTGCATATCCCTCTCTTCAAACAGGAAGAACTATCATAAGATAATGCTCCATATCTCCAAATTTCTGATTTGGGACATTACCCACACATTTGTATCACAATATTTTTCTGAGATCCTGTACTGCTCCTGAAAGTACAAATTACAGAAAAGTTTAATTATGCTGACTAGTTTTGTATCAAAACTATATAGGCCCAAAAATATTGTCCTTATTCTTGAACGACTCCTTTAGAAGCTACCAAAGAATTTGGTCTTTCAGTTCTTTGAAGTGCAGAAGCCAGCTTCACTTTAAACCCTCATTATGGGAATGCACTGAAGAACATAAATATAAAATGAAATACAAAAATCTTAAGAATATGAATAGCAACTGCCCCTTTTCTGTGAGATCTTTCAGTAAGGGGATGCACTTTTCTCTGGAAACTCTGAATATTCACATCTAAGACAAGATTTTGGTATTTCTGGCATATCTGCAGAAGATTAAGACTACAAAACAAAACTTACAGTTACATAGTGTAAAACGCAGCAGCTATTAAAGGATAAGCACAAATAATGAACACATTTGTGTTTGATCACGTAACTATGGCACTAATAAAAGACTCCTCACAGAAGAACGGTGCTGTAGCACTTGTGTATCTAAGCAGACGTACACACACATGCATGCGCACATACCAACCGATTTCAGTCGTGGCAGTTGGAACTATAATACAGTTTGAAAGCCTACAATAATAATCAATGTCACATTTTATCAACACTGACTCGCTCATATTCATGACAGCATTGACAATAATGTAATTCATTATATGAGCATATCTCATTATTTAAACAAGCTTGTATTAAATGATAATCCTAAACGCATGACAGCTGTGTGGCAGACAATTAAACCTACCACCCACAGTGAAGATACTTGGCCTACCTGTTCCCAAAATGCCAGGTCTCTTCAAAGCTAGAATACTTCTGGGGAAGAATGGAATGCCCTGCAGTCCATTTTGAACTGACAGAAACCACACAGTTACCTGCAACCGCACTGGGACTGAACCGATCCCTTTCCAGGCCATCCTCTTAAATAAGTAGGGGCTTCTATTACCAACAGCTCTGTTAATTCCACTTGCAAACTGATTCAATCCATGTTACCATGGGTTTGACAAAAATAGCTACTAGATTTTTTGAGCGGTAAACGCAGCAGTGGAGTGTCTAGAGCATCCTCCACAAGCTTAGGAACAACCTCATTTCTAGATGGTGCATGTGGGCAAAGTTAACTCCACAACCACAACAGCTAGAAAGAACTGCACTTTAAGGGAAAGTTAATTCTGTAAATCGAGTGAACTTGAGAAGAAACTTTCTCATCAAGGAAGAGGATTTTTCAAAACTTGTGTTAACTACTGCAAGTTTAAAGTAGTAGTCCCAAAAGCAGATACTTATGCACTAGAGCAATAGCTCCTTCGTATGTACTAACAAAAACTTGGAAGTGACTTCACAAAACAGAATGTTTCTGCTGTTTGTCACAAATGTACTGAAAATGTTTTAAGTATTACTTTTCTGCATTAACATCATGTGTCATACTTTCTGTCTGGCAGCCAAAACCAAAATCTATTACAAAGATCTCCATGAAATGAAATCACTTGTGCAATGGCCCAACAGTCCACCTTTGAGAAACACAAACACCTTGAGGAAATCCTTACTTTCTTTAGAAGAGTCACACTATGAATGCATAACTCTGACTAATCCCATTCCTTCAATGAAACCAGGCAGGGCAGTAATGATTATGACTACTAATGACAGTAATAACTTTTCTAAGAACATCCAAAGCATCTCACACAAGTGATTTTATCTTTCAAACCCAGGAAGCTGTAATCTGAAGGTGAATTATCCATCTGAAGCTGTAACTTAAAGGTAAATTCATGTTGTAAAAACAAACAAAATTTTAATTTAGAATACTTACATAAGTAACCAAATTTTGATTATTGATTACTAGCCTCTTTCTACCACAATTCAGCATCTAGCTTTACCTACTTTATATCTGGTCCAATGAGCGAATGCCTCCTTAGCATAGCCCGGGCTTGTGCATTGGTTAAGTTAGTGGTTGACTCTTCATTAATGGAGAGGATGCAGTCCCCCACACCAATCCGTCCATCACGACTTATTGAGCCTCCATGGATGATGCTGCGGACTATCATTCCTGAGCCATCTTTATTGGAACTTACTGTCATGCCTGTAGTGAAAAACACATGAAACAGTAACATCTTTGAGCCTCAGCTCTGAGTGCCAAGAAAGAGAAATGTAACCTGGGGCAGGGAAGGTAAAAGCCAGCCAGCTGACATGCCAATGCCAGCAAGCCTATAAATGTTGCTCTTATTCTCCCTTGTATTTCCTTCTTCCCAACAGGAGATAGCAGTTACAAATCACAATCACAGTATCTTTACTTTACCTTGTGTCATTTCACAAACTAGGCTCAATATAAAAAATACTAAGACAGTGGAAAATTTAAGCAGAAAATAAACAAAAAAGGTAATGAAATTGCTTCTAAACCCGTCAAATCTACCACTCTTCTGGATGGTTCCCAGTGTTTATACACGACATTTCAGTTTAGTGCATGATGGTTCTCTTTGGAAAGGAGGTGAAATGATTAAACAGTTAATTAGGAGCATAGGGCCAATACAACCACACACTTATTTGCAACAGAAAGCCTGAATCAGATCCCACTGAGATAGCGGCTGCCTTCCCGCTCTCCTAGATGGGCCATCGCTTAGGCCTTCTGACTTCTGTGAGAGCCTGTGCACCACTGATAGATGCAGTCCACTACTTGAGGTACACCACGATCCCACCTGTGGCAGAGCAGGATGCTACTTCTTAATGTTTATACACACCATTTAACTCCACTTTCTTTTCACTAATGGGAAATGAGACAGAGATGCTCCTCCCCCCCTCCTCCCCATGGGGACTTACTTGTGGTGTTGGGCTTCACATGCCTTTGTGACTGTTCTTACATGCATAAGTTGTCACTTATTTTCAGGGCAGTTGGTGCTCATGAAACCAACCCTGATGACAGTCCCAGGAAAAACTGTTCTTCACTAAGGCAATGGAAAGGTAGTTGAAAGGCCAGCACCCTGGAAGTCCACTGGGTGGACACTATCTTAATACTGCCAAACTAATTTTTCTTCTTTTTTGTGCACTAACATTGAGCTTTCCTCTACTAACAAGATGAGGCCACTGAAGTAAGAGCACCTTATAGAGGAATTGGAGCAGGAGGCTGTGACTACCCCACTATGTGTTCTGGTTTTGCCTGTAAACATCAGGCTAGCAAGCACTGGGAGTGCAGTTGTGTGTCTGCAAGCCCTTACCTTATTGTCCAGACTCTGAGTGGAAGGAAGGCAATAGCTACACAGAGCAAAACCTCCAAGGATACTATGAAAAAATTTCTAACCATTTATATGCAAACATGGCTACAGAACACAGAGACTTTACTCTGTGAACGTAGATCCTGGGAGACAGAGTGGCTGAACAGAGTTTAGAAGGCAGCTGTAAGACCCAGGCTACCCAGACTCAGCCAACCATACAAACACCTGCCTATATATCTGTCTCAGAGAAAAAAAATAGAATACTGTAACCATTTAAAGAACAACGCTAATCCAGATATTCCTTTGTGCTTCTTAGGACTCCGTCCAGTAAATAAAAATCTCTTAATAGTGCTGGCTCCTCACACCGACTTGTAGTTGAGATCAACATAGCTGTCTAAAGCATGAGAAGATGGCCATGACTAGCAAGGAACTGCCCAATAAGCTCCTTAGACACATGAATACATCTACCTCTCTACTTTTGTATGCAGAAGTCGAGGCTTACCTTTTGGAAAAACTGCAAAATCCATCTTCATGATGGCATTTCATATTAAACTGATGGAAGAATATGGTGTTACCATTGACTGGAGATTTATGTTTATGATTTGCCAGGTAATGATGTCAGATGTGGTCAGGTGTAATTTAAACATGGGTGTATCAGACTTGCAATACAGACACACAATGCCACTGATTTATAGCCTTGCTATTAGAAAAAGTAGAGGTAAACTCTCTGTCACCTACCCCTCAGATTAGTAACATTACAATGTTGAGCACATCACAGATGGCATTTACAGGTGCCATCCCGGGGTGGACGCCCCAGCATTTACACTCACATAGTCTTTCCAACAACCATCTCTTGATAGATCTGCTCACACAGGTTATTCAGTCAGATCTGAATGTAAATACAACTCTGCAACAGAGTAGTCTCCACCACAATACAGGCAGCGTGCACAGAAAAGCAAACTACCAAGGAAACAGCTGAAATGTGGTTTGAAATTCTGAAGCTAACTTTGCCGCTTGGTTAAGCCAGTAATAAACAACCGTATTACTGAGGCTAGTGTAGCAGCACTTTAGAAGACCATCACCCCTCGTTTCTATGTTGACATTCTCATTACAACAGATCTGCAAGGCTGATGTCACACTTTGGACAGCTACAGTTTCAGGTTAAAAATGCAAATGCCACTGTTGAGTTGCCAAATGAATTACATAGGACAATGGCGTTTCAGCTCTTCTCGCATGCGGGTGCACTGTCCTCTTACCTTTTAAAAATCACAATCAAAAGGTTAGAGCTCCAGCTGTGGCTGGATTTGAAGAGCTGTTGCAAGCTATGGGTGACACCATTTAAAAGGAAAAAAGAAGTGCCAGTTCTCAACTGAAATAATTCATGCAGCTGAGCTTTCAACATCATTCACAGCTCTTGATTTAGCTCCTTTTGTAAAAATGAAAGTTAAAAGCAGTGCAGCCATGTGTGTAAATTGGTCACCATGCCCAGGCAGCTTCCCAGGCCAGAGCACACACAGACTGGAAGAAAAAGACTGCAGTCAAAAGCCAGGAGAAAGCATTATTCACATTCATACTATGTATACGTGAGAGGCCAGTCTTACTTTTCATGCATGTAATGTCTGCCAACGTGCACCCTGTGCCAAGTTTGTATTTTTATGCTGTATTAGGCTTGACATGAAATTTGCTTTTAAAATTAAAAATTAAAAATTTTAAATGCTGCAATTTTAAATTTAAATGCTGCAATTAAAATACTCATAGACATACATGAAAAACACTGCTTCATGTAGTTAAGAGGTTATTGTAAATAAAACTTTTTGAACAAAATCAAAATGTCTGGAACTGCACCATGACCTGCACTTTATACAGCCTGGCAATGAGGCCAGTGAAGGCAGTAGTTACCCAAGCACCTCATACCAATGAAAGTCAAAACTTATACCCACATCAGCCTTGCCTACAGCTTTATATTTTAGGAAGGCTGATTTTAAACCAGATCAGTTCCGGAACCAGTTTGGAGGCTGGCTGTATCACAAAGGAGAAGGTGATATGGGGCAGACTGAGCATTCAGCCATCAGAGGGCAGTTTGTTCCAGGCAGAAGCGCCCACTGAATTACAGCATCACAGAGCCTCATCCACCTCTGCACAGCAAGGGAATCCTGAGCGGTGGCTGTTATGAACAAGGGGCCCATGGGTTGCTTTCAAGGTGCTTTCTGTGGACAACCCATCTTAAAGCATTTGCAGAGTCACTGTGAACAGCCAGCACCCACACAAAGGCCTGCCCTAACAACACCAGTTTCAAGGACATAGAATCATAAACCATAGAATCATCAAGGTTGGAAAAGACCCTTAAGATCATCGAGTCCAACCGTCAACCTATCACTGCCAAGTCCATCTATACCATGTCTTCAAGCACCGTATCTA